GACGTTAATCCATGATGAATTCCGACCTGAAATCAATGATTTCTGTTTGTAATTCAGTCGATTATAAAAATACATCAGATGCTGTCTACATCTTAGAGTGTAGCAAAATCGAGTCATCTTCGTAATAAACTTTGGTGCTTTATACCTAAACTCACGTTATCAGTAAGTAACTATCTTGTTACCTGCTTCCTTATTTCACAGATTCACAAGTTCGTGAACATAAGCTTGAGCTGAGCATGTATAGTTACAAAACAGTGGTCACTGGGTAATCACTGGATTTCTTCAAAACGTTTACTTAATTAAACATTCTTTACTATGCTAGTCGGGGAATATATTCCTATTCTTTAGTATCTATAGCCAGTAAGGTAAAGAAAAAAAACTAGATGTCTGTAAGATGAACGAACGTGCCTACCTCTCAGTGTTACTTTAAAAAATGTCATCACAGGAGGTGTGTTCGCTTAAAGAGATTTTCAGTTATTACTCTTATATTGAGAAAGTATGTATTTTAAGTAATTTAATAATCAGAAATTAAGAACTTCACATTCAAATAAATATTAAGTATACTTCAACACTTTGTTAAAATGAACTGTGAATTTTCAGGTCTAAGATTAAGCTTCTCAGACACCTATTGTTATCCATGCGTGGTAAAGGTAACTACTATTATTGCTATTATTGTTATGAAAGTGTATTCTTACATGAATTCTACATAAATTAATCATTAAAACTCATGTTGGTCATTTCATTTTGTACAAAATCTCACCCAAGTGTCTACTTATATCTCCGTGTATGCTCTTCAATTTCTCATCTGCAAGTTTAATTGTTTTTCTCCAACAATCTACTGACCTTGCAGTAAAGTTTGAAGTCCAAGGTCATCCTATAAATTCATTAATGTTTAACTTAAAAAAGTTCAGTGAATTCTATTCAACTGCAATTTTTCTTTGTAATTCGCTTATCACAGGACCCGTTTGGGTTGCTTGTGAAGTAGCTCACTGTCAGAATTTCTCATTCAGATTTGAGCGAAAAGCAATCTGCTGATTGGCACTATCTGAAACAGCTTTTTCTGAGTTATACATCATCCCCTCTTCAGAAACATGCTACAACGTTCAACAGCTGACCGCTTAAACTATCAGTGAAAACAGTGAAATAATGAAAAAAATTGCTTTGCGAATGTCCAGCTTGCACTGTAATAAATCTCTGTGCTAACCACATATAAGTGATGATGAAATGAGCTATCGGAGTGAAAAAATGACTAGAAAACTTACAGTACTTCCTTGCAGGATTTTATTTGTAAATAAGTTACTATATATTGAAAGTTCAACCAAACAGCTGCGAAAACACTAACTCCTTACACAACAGTATACTTACAGATTTCCATAAATCTGTGTAGAAATATGCTAGAATGCCAACGTTATAAGATTTTAGTTGTGAAAATCAATATTTGATGCCTCTGACTAGGCATATTCTTCAAAAAGGTATGAGATGAATGGGTGATAAACTAGGCGACCTACCTAAGACGATAATAGAATTTCTTCGGTATTCCTCAGCTTCTTCCTCTTACTATCTTCTGGCTGATATTTTTCAACTTCAGTGGCATTGTCTTTCTTAGGTTCCTAAGTAGTATCTTTACATTTTCTGAAAATTTTCTAAATATTTGCATTTATGCGTTAACATTGTTTACTTTACTTGACACCAAACAGTTAACTTTTCGTATCTGCGCACAAGATTATTGCCTACCATTCAAAATATTAGCTGAGTGTTGGTTCAATTTGAAAACACTGGTATTACAACACAGTCATACTACTAGTCTGTCATCTAAATTACCAAGATAATTAAGTGGTTTTATTGATAGGCTGCTTCATGTAAGATTAACATAGCTTACATGGTAATATATGCAGCATGATTCTAATTATTTTACTAATAAATAAATTCTCTATATATTTATTGATAGTTCATGACCGATAATAACATCGTATTTACATGTAAGCTGTTAGACATATTATGAAGAAAAAAATACAACACTAATGTGATTGTAAATGTTTACAATCCGGATGGTCAGTCACTTATATGTGCAACTGGTTGGTGACTGAAAATGAAACGAAAATCTGTGTCAACTTAGGACTCGAACTAGTGACCTTATGGTTATTGGCCCAATGCTACAAGACCAGGCTCCTCACCATCAATATCTCTGATGTTCACACTGGTAACTAATACCATACTCCCCCTCTCTGAAACAATTCGGTTTGAATTGGGATAAGAGGGCCTGACTGAACAGCCAGTGTAAATATGATGAACAGACAGTCATGTATCACGAATTAACATAGAGGTTAGACAAATACTCTTGGTGAATGAATTGTAAATGAGATCAGATAAGCAACTGGATCTCAGAGCCCAGTTAACAGAGGATCACGCTGATAATCCGGATGCCACTGGTTTGGATCTTGTAACGACGCAAATTTCGATTTCACCTTTAATCATCATCCAGTTAGAACAATACGGGTCTGCCAAACCATGGCAGACTCAGACTGATAATTATATAAAAAACGAATTTTGATGATTATCTGTCTCTCTTACTTAGATAAAAATGTATGACATTTACCATTTAAAAGTTTTTGAGTATTCGTAGGAAGATTATGTATGTGTATGTGTAAATATTTGCTTACTTTTTTCTTCCTGGGCTAATGTTCATTCATTATCAATCAGTACTATGAATTTCAACTTTAAACTCCAGTTATTAAGTGACATGAACATCAGGATATATTGGTTTATAGAGATTGTTAGAATCAGTTGTTCCGTGGGAGAAGTGAAAACTAAGCAACATCGTAGGTAAACTTAAGTTAGCACGCTCGGTAACTGCTGAATAAAATTCACTTACTTAAAGGTGAAAAATATTAATGCAAATTTTAATAATCTTTTCCTTGTTTTTACTAATAATTGTAGCGAAGTTTTGGGAGGTAAGGGAGTAACTTTTAGTAAATCTCCAGTTGTCTTATGAAAGGTTCTGGTCTGCGACTTAGGTTGAATATAGTTACTGACAGAAAGCAAAATGCTTTCTCTCTGGTACAACTTATATTGAATATGTCTGTAGGCGAACATAAAAGCACACACTTATTTGTAATTTATTTTCAGCTCTACTTCACGATACTTAGAGAGAGTTTATGTAGAATCACCAAAACTGGATGTAAGATATGTAGAAAGAACAACTCCTTGTGCTATTTCTCTCGTTAGTTCAATATGCTTTCGCATCTTAGATTGACTGTTGAGTGTGAATTTCACATTTCGCAAAACAGTCTTATCAGTGAAACTGAAACAATGAGGATTACTGGGAAGTATTTATTTTCAATTAGGGGATTTTTGCCTAGTGAGTAATTGGAAAGTACTTTTCACTGTAAACAAATACCAGCTGGAAAACCATTGAAAACCTGGGAGGAGTGAGGAACCCTTTCATCTTCAACAGTGTGTAGCCACAAGTTTGGGGAGGGGTGAAGCCAGGATCGTCAGCTATCACTGGGATTATGCTGCCATTCAATCAGTGAATTGGAAATCAATTTTCCACCTTTTCAACTTTCCTCGAATATCTAACAGTCTCATCAGTGAGCATCCGTTTTCCCTCACGGTATGGATGACCCTACAGGTAATGTCTTTTTATTAGGATTTCAGGATGTTCATCTTGAAGCAAGCCCCTACTAATCACTACATTTTAATCTGTTTGGAGTTTTCAAGGGTCGATTAATTTGAAAATACTCTTCACTGCACAATGGCACCAGCTAGATAACGACTAGAAATTTGGAAGCATTGGAAAACTTTCTCATTCTTGTTCACGACTCCTTACTAGTGAGTATTGAATTGGTATCCAGGTGACCTCACTCCACTCCTCTCTATTTAGTCGTTAGATATTTTTTTAATCCAACAAACCATATGGTTTTTAAAACACTTCAGGGTAACATTGGTTTGAATACGTGCAAATAATCTTGAAAGTTTGATATTATCCTTAAAATAAACTTGTTGTGTAATGGAGACAAGAACTGTTAAATTTTGACAGGTTTAAATGAAATATACTATGGAACACGAGTTACTTGATGCCGACTATACCAATGTATAGGTTGTGCTAAACAGATTTCGGGAATACCAGTAGTACCAATATGGATAATAATAATAATAATAATATCATTGGAGGTTCGCTGACACCACTGCTAGAAACACTTATTTCAGGTTAACAATATTCTTGATATGATTTCGAAAATAATCATCTATGTGAAGAGAAGAGTTGATGTAAAGTGTTGAGTTTTTGCCAACAGAGATCTTAGCTGATATAGGCCAAAAGTGAACATGAAGATACATGCATTCTCCTTTCCTTTGGAAAATCTTGTTCTACTCCCTTTTGACGTTTATCGTTCTTATGTATTTTCTCGTACTACGATTCTGTGAAACCTGGAAAACTGAATGGATATACTAATTTCTTGATGATTTGTTTTTCTTAAGGGCTATTGAAGTTATATAGTGGTAAGATGAAGTACAATCATAGAATGCCAATGAATTGCATTTAATAACCCATCTCAAACGATAAAATAATAATGATTTATAAAAGTGTACTTCATCATGCTGTTCGAGTAAATAAATATAAAGGTGTTTTCAATTGATCAGTCTCTATTCGTTTATGAGCTTCTGCGCTGATGCCTCGATATTGCCTATAATCTCAGTTGGGTTGTAGTGACTGATAGTGGCTATCAGTGGAGTCCGGAATGCGTGTTTCGTTCACTTTGGAACTCGTCAGCTGGATTTAATTGCTTCCCAGAGAGTGATGTTGTCCCCTTCAGGACTTGAACACAGGCTCAACCAGTTCAAACTCCAGCTTATTATCCACCAGGTTACTGAGTCTTTCCAATTTGTCACAAATTAATTAAACAAGATGTTTTTTTAGCATAAAATGAAATGTATACCACAAGCAAACAATTCATTTCAATGACTTAGAAAGAAAATACGATTAAAATTAATTAGCTTACCAGCTAATACATAGACCAATGAGCCAAAATCGCCTTCACTGATGATCACTTCTTCAGCAGTAAACTCAATACTATACATGCAATCAATAAGTTCACTAAGTTGACTCAATGCAATATGATTCATGAAATCATTCTCCATAATAGCACCTTTAATAAGCTTCCTGACACTGTAGAAAGAAAATGGCAATAGAGAAGAAAATGTATATGATTAAATCGGTAGTTATGAAAGTTCTAACAATTTAGTTGTTCCTTGAATTCAAGTACTGACTAGTGAGACCTCTCACTGTCTATGTTCATGTCATTTTCACTACAAGGCTACAGGGGATCAATCCATAAATCACATCTCATTGCAAGATGGTTACTTACAGTTAGTAAAGTGCAGGAGACGGTTAATACACATGCAATCCACTTCATTTCAATATCTCTAAGCACTAAATGCAAAACAAATATTGGGAAAATCTCTTATTTATCCTACTGTTCGACTCAAAACCTTCCAAAGTATCGATTACTTTCTACTCTCTGTAAGTAACCTAATGATAAAGAGTGGTGCTGAATATGAAGTGTCTCAGTCGACATTTCAAAACAGAAAACTTTCTAATCTCTTATTGCTGAACATAAATTTGAAATAATGTTTATCTCAGGTACTTCTGTACAGAATAACTTGTCCATCAGAAATACAGTAGAGCAATACAAGCTAAGTAGTGACTGCTTATGATAGTATTTAAAAGAAACATGCTTTCTTGACGTACAGTACAGTTTCTTGGGCTGCATTTCTCTTTACATAAAGAAGTACTTGTCAGAAGAGTATTCATTTTTACAACCGACCACATATTTTCACACCATGACAGTGACTTCATTTATGGAATTGGAACTAATCTTGTATCGCTGCAATTACAGATTGCCTGTTTTGTACCTGACAGGTTAGGATTTTACAAAGATTTGGAAAGATTTTGTTTAGAATTGTAGACTAAAAAAGATGTTTTCCTCACGGTTATCTCTGAGGTCTACGGGGATAATCCTGATCACGGACTGACATCAGTTAGAGAACCACTGAAAACCTGGGAGCACTGGACCATTGTTTCGTCCTAATACGGGACTCCTCAGCAGCACGTACCCACGACCCCACCAAAAGATCAAACTCTGGAACTTCAGGTTTCATGCCGAACGCGTTGACCATTCAGCTAATAGGTTACAGGGTACTGTCCTACAGTTCCCCACTTCCGTCGAGATGTATTACGACTATCGAGCAAGGTCATCAGTTAATATTCGCATCACTTTCGAATGATTGACTCTGACTTCACGGGTCACAGCTTCTCATAAGAACTTTGTGATATCCATGTAAATGCATGTTACTAATGAGCACAATACAGTACTGAAGTTTTAGGTTTATGAGGATTTCATCATTTTTTGAGGCAGTATTCATCGTGGATATTAACTACCGAAGAGCCACATACTAGGACGATTTTGTGAACGACTGTTAATAATTCATCACTAAGATGATAAAAGTAAAAAGTATCGAAGGTAAAATCCAAATTAGGACGCAGATATTATAGAGAGGCAGATGCTAATAAAGCAGAGTCGATAATAATAGTTTGTCATACACTAACACCACAAGTCAAAATGAACAAGAGAAAAGCAAAAGCAATAGGGATGATTATATTGATAACAAAAAAACTTCAGTAAAACTGGAAATAAAACTGATAAGTTATGAAATACGAGGTGGGAAATGATGAGACGTTGAAGATTTGGTATGTAGGTGCACATGCTACAAAGACTGATGTCAAACTATATCCATTAGCCGTTATGGGACTACAGTTCCTTGCATATAGCAGGTCAACAGTTAGCATTGACAGATTGATAACAGTTAGAGGAGAGCATTATGCTATAACTTGCATAGTGGTGTCAAATGATACGCTACAAAATATGCTTTCAGTCCTATTCGAAATTTGTCAGCTGGTTTTGCTTGAACAACTGTTTCGTTCCATTTCAGAACTCCTCAACAATGCACAGAAATTACTCCATGAGGGATATAGCTTAGAACTTTAAGGCCTTGAGATGATCATCACATAACAAATCAGTCAACAAACTAAACAAAAGTTAATGAAAAAAGTTCTATTGAAATTAATCCAGTGTTAATTGTACCATCGTTATCAATGTATAAGAAAATAATCGTAAAGAGGCAAGTAATCACATGATAAATGAGAAAAAGTGTATCTATGAGGCTAATCAACTGAGTTACAAGTAGTTATGTAATTATCATCTGATTCACATTCTATTTTTCTTAATCAATGTACTTGTGTTTTAGAAATTTCATGTAGACTTCAGCTTTTTACAGATACAAGCTTATGGTTTTTAAGAAATACTACTTAGTATCTTTCTTCAAGTGTATACTTTTCACATATCCTCATATTTTCTCACATATTTCTCCTTAAACTTTAGTAAAAATAGAAAAACCACTCTGATAATTGATAAAATTCGAGTAGATCCCTTAAAATTTAAACCCAATGTATTCAACCTTGTTGTTAGCAACAATGAAGGTGAACTGTTCGAGTTAACATAGTGCATTGTTAGCCCAATATGTGACTATATAGTTTCATAGAACTCACCATCATCATTATTCGGTTTCACTTCATTTACCTAAGAGACCCCTTCATATCATATGGATAAATGACCTGTATTCGTATGTCTGATATCACAATAACTATACACTCAAGTGTATACCTTCCATTGCATTTTCGTCAGAATTATATCATAACAGTAATTGACTGGTAGTTTTCGAGTGGCTAAATGGAAATAACTTTACTTGGCAGAATTTTGAAGAGGCATATGCATGGATAGCGCCCATCTGTTACAAATAAGTTCTTTAATCTAAACTGATAGTTGATTACAGACTTCCGAATAAATAATTAAGCACCTCGGATAATCTCATTTTATAAGCTGAGTAATTTTACCGAAATTAGGAGTGTTTCGTAAGTCACTATACCACGGTATAAGGCAGAACATATTGCGCTTCACAGTCTGACTGCTCAGTGCAGCTATTACTGACAACGCGAAAACGATGACCTTCAGATTTACATCCTTATAGTACTCATTTCCAACTACAGACGACACAAGCACAGATGAGGATGTCAAAGCCAGGTTCGGAAAGGCAGAAAGACTGACCTTTCATCATTCATCTGAAATCAGTGTAGAGATCTACTGCACTGCACTGCACTGTACTGCACTCCACTCCACTCAACTCAACTCAGCATAAACCGGGAACAAAACCGGGTTTTCAACCCTAATTAAGTTATATAAGACGGTGCTTCTATGTGGTGGTTGAGAGACTTAACGCGTGACAGAAAACCTTTTCAACAAACCACAGACATGCATCAACAGCTGCCGACTACGCTCAATTTACACTGACACTCAAGATCAGATGGCTAGAATAATGAGAATAACCAATAGGGAACTCTGCCTAACCGGCTGTCTACAAATTGTTGGAAATGCATTCGTAACGCGTTAAGTCTCTCAAACACCACATAGAAGCACTGAATTACTTGAATGAATTACTGTTGAAAAAATCAGATCTTCTTCACATACGCTTTATGCTGAGTGCAGTGCAGTGCAGTGCAGTGCAGTACAGTGCAGTAGATCTCCACACTGATTTCAGATTATTCAGGGCCTATCTTCCTGTCTTGCCTATCCTGGCTGCCTTCAACATCCTCATCTGTCACGCCACCGCCTGCAGATAAAACGATGCCGCCTAACTAGGTGAAATAAGCTACTTCATTCAGATTTATCCCGATGATGGTGATCTATGCTCGTTGTTGTTGTTGCTGTTACCTGTTGGATATCTTCATCACCTCTGTTTTCTCTGCGTTCACCTGACCGAAGTCGAGTATTCCATCCCTCAACTCATCTTCCAACTTCTCAGTTTCCACCTGTACATCTTCGAGTTTGTACAACAAGACACTAAACATCAATCATCATCGTTGGCAAAATCCAAATCTTCTTCTAGGCTCTCTTCATCGCTCCAGTCAGCGTTTGCCCCTCATCTCACAGCTCCTCACAGTTGTCTGTTGAATGATCCAGTCCAGTCAATGACAATCAGGAAGATGATCGATCAGTGGTGATAGTAGGTGGCAGCCTTGTCTTACTCCTCTCTCCTGTCTTCACTTCAAATGCATCACTGAGCTGAGATTTCCATTGTCAATCACTTGTCATGTAGCATCCTCATAAAGCATATATCTGCTGTTGAATGAGGTTGAGAAGGGTTGTCGCACTGAAACTGTAGTGTTGAAGTAGCTGCCTGCCATATGACTTCTCGGTTGACGCTTTCGAACACCAGCCTCTTCAAAATCGATGAAGTTGAGGTGGAGTTGAGTTGACTGCAATTCTATACTCTCTTCATTGATGATGATGCGCAGCGTAGCGTTGCAATTTGATCCTCACATGATTTGTACTTCCTGAAGCCAGCCAGCCAGCCAACCAGCCAGCGTGACTGCCTGTCTGCCTGCCTGCCTGCCTCCCTACTCCAGTTGTAATTTTGAATGCAGAGCACCTTCTCATTTCTCCAGTATGATGCGGCATAATATTTAGCTTGGAGTGGACAGGAATGGAGCATGATTCCTCAACAGTTCTTGAGAAGACTTAGGTCGCCCTTCTTTGGAAGTTTGAAAGGTGGCCCTACTCCCAACCAATCGACAGGCACCTTCACTTCCCTCCTTCCCCTCTTCCTTCCTTCCAAACCTCCTGCAGTAGTGGTGTGAGCGTGTCCACTGATGTCTCTGCATCTGTTCTCAGTGCTTCTGGAGGAATTCCATGTGGTGCTGTTGCTTTCCCGGATTTCAGCGACTTTATGGCGTTCAGGACTTCACTTGTGCTTTTGTCGGAGGGCTTGTGTTCACTGGTAATTCTGTATCTGGGGTGCTGGTAGTATTTCTGGACGACAAACATATATATATATATATATATATATATATATATATGTTAAATTTGCAGTTAAAAATTTAGTAATGTGAATCATTATGTTGACCGAAACCTATGCAATCTCAAACAAGCATTCAGAAATAAACATATCCATATAACTACAAGACGCAGATGCACGCCTATCTCAGTACCACACAAAATGATTTAGTTTATAGGTTTTCGAGGATTTATCGATCTCAAGGTAGTATTTATCACA